AACGAGGCCTAATAGTAATATAGGTTCGGGGGTCTGATAGTCAAATTGACAGGACAACCACAAGAGAAGTAGAAACTAGTTATGCATCAAAAATCAAGAATCAACTATTTCTTAGCACTTACTTCTCTCCAATATCCTTGTACTTGTCTGCATCAACATTTGCGATGACGACATGTTGATCCAGCTTGAACGCTGCTGCAACTTTTTCGTAAACCTACATGTAAACGTGATATGAAGTTAGTAATGAAATAATTTATCCAACAGTCGTTTCAATTTACTAATGAGCCCGTACTGCACTTACAGGAGCAAGGTTCTTGCAGTGACCACACCTGAAAAATTAAGAGCACAATTTTTATTAGCCTCGTTAATTAATGCACTCCCAACAAACGGCACATCGCAAATTGCATCACAAGACGTAAACTAACCATGGTGCATAGAACTCAACAAGTACGTCCTTGTTCTCATCGAGTACAATCTCCTCAAAGTTTTCCGGGGTTAGAACCACGACATTTGAAGGGGCTGATGCAATCTTGACATTCGTCCCTGAAAAAGTTTGTACGGGTAAGAACAGGGAAATATTGCATATTATTATGATTTTCTTTTTATTTTTTTGTGCTCCAATCATAGGTATTTATGTCACCATCGATTGCATATCAGATGATGTAATACCTTTTTTCAGAAGATCAAATAAAAATGAGAAATTAGAGTATTCGAACACGTCATATATCAAATGTAGCATTAAGAAAAAGGGGTACATAGTTAATCTCATGGATGAAAAGTGTAGCCTTAACCAAAAAAGATTTACCTGCTTCAGTATTTACATATTCAGCAAGGGCTTCGGCATTTCGTGCACCTTCATACCTAATAAATCAACATGTTAATTCGTTAAAGCTAAACTTTCTGTAAGACTTGAATGATTATAAAAACCAAAATTAGTGAAAAGGAAAGGAAGAAATCGGAAAAAAAAAATCGGTTAATGAAACTCACTTTTTTGGCTCGAGGGAGCCCTTAGGGAACCACTGGATGGTGGGATATCCGGAAACTCCGTACTTGCTGCAAACGCTCTTATGCTCGTCACAGTCAACCTAAAATAGCAGAAGCAGAAATCAAGAGCATTATTTTGCGTCCGTAAATTACAAATAATAAATCAAAGTGAGACATAGTAAAGAAGCAAATTGTTTTAGCAAATCCAGTGAAGTTAAAGATGTTTTATTAACATCAATTCCATACGAACAACCCTCGAATGAGCTTAAAAGCTATAATTCAAGAACAAATCAATAGCAAATATGTTATAATTTAAGCCAGAATTAGGCACATTTCATCAAACTAAAAACTGCATGCAGAAAAAAAATATATAAAAATATCGAAATAACAAAGAGAACCCCAGAAAGAAAATCAACTGTGAGTAGTTTAGGCCAAAAAGAATAGCAGATCCCATCTACAATTAAAATCATTATGCATAACCTTCATATACAGCTTCGACAAAATGAGTGAAAAACGTAGCAGTAGAAGTTTACTACTGCATCATAATATAATAATAATAATACTTTTGAACCGTTGCACTAAACATCCAAGACAATGAACATAGAATTACGAAAATAAAAAATAGGCGCTCGCTCACCTTGGCAATTACAACAGATTTTGCCTTCTTGAAACTTGCACCGAGGGTTTCATATTCGGGAGCAAGCTTTTTACAGTGCCCACACCTGTACAAGAAGGAACATTATTTACATCATTAATTTTTTTAAAACAACTCAATCGTAAAGAAATGACTAACTCACAGACTCCAGATTCAACTTCAAATGAATATTCACTAATTATTAGATTACAATTTTCTAATCGATTTTGATTCGAATAAAATGAACTCTTACGAATAAATAAATAATCGCTGAATCAGATCTATAGATCAATAAATTCGTGCTCAAAATTCACAGATCTACTACACACTAAATCAAAAGCAAAATCAAGCACAAAAATCTCCAACCCATCAAAAATTCCAAAGGTAAACAACAAGCAGAAAATGAGAAAACCAACAAACTTAAAAACCCATTCAAAAAACAAACTTCGATCTTCAAAAAAATTAAAAATTAAAAATTAAAAATTAAAAAAAAAATGGTACCATGGAGCGTAGAACTCGACGAGAGCACCCCGATCTTGGCCGACCTCTTTGTCGAAATTCTCCTCTGTAAGAACGACGACGTCGTCTGCAAATGCCGAAGCGACAAACAACAACGTAAGAGTGACGAAAACCAAGCAGATTCGCGATCTCGACATTTTTTTTTTTTCGTCTATTAGTTTTGTTGAACTGATTTTTTTTTTCTATTGGACTTTGATATTTATAGTTGCAGGTTTATTCTACGTTTTTCTTTTTAATTTTCTCTTTTTTCTTTCTTCGGTAAATACCATTTATGACCCTGTAGTTTGAACTTTGTACACATTACTCCCTTGTATTTTCAAAATAGCACATGACCCCCTTATACTTTAAAAAATTTCATCTTCCAACTATTTACCCAGTGGAATGTCATGTGAGGTTTATCTGCTTGTATTAAAAGTACAATAGGGTCGTGTGTATAAAGTTCAACTTACAGGGTGGGTCATATACTTATATTGAAAAGTATAACGGGGTCATGCACAAAAAACTCAAACCACATAGGGGTTAATTGTTATTTACCATCTTTTTCTAAGGATGTTTTATTTTATGGGTAAATTACAAACACCCCCTGGAGTATGGTCAATTTACAAAAACACTCATCTTGTTTGGATAATTACAACTATCCCTCAACTCCTCAAATTTAGTGGAATTTTCGAGATTATATGAAATATTATCACTTTTGTACCCGTTTTATCCCATTCAAACTCTACATTATGAAGCAAAATAATCATAATATGTGATTTTTAGCTTGTATATATCAGTTTGTGGTGCATCGGAAACTGTATTTTTACACAAAACGAGTACAAACTAGAGCACATTCCACGGAATCTAGATGATTATGTTGAATTTGGCACCATAAGGGTGTAGGTATAAGAAAAAATCATAGTTGAGGGGTAGATGGAATTATCCAAACAAGAGGAGGGGTTTTATAATTTGACCATACCTAAGGGGGTGTTTGTAATTTACCCTTATTTTATTGTACATTTTCATTTATTTTTTTCTTTTTGTTTGAGAAAAACATTTTCATTCCTCAATGTATAATATATTTCTTTTTTTGTACTAACAAGTATCATTTTCCCCAATTTCCCCTTATTTAATGAGCTTTTTACGTACAGAAGTTTTGAATTTTAATCTCAAACTGTGGTATTTGAATTTTATTTGTCATATGTATAATATTATTAACATTGAAAATATATATTATTGTTTACATTGAAAATCCAATATACAATAATAATATAAAGATAAAAAGACCGAATCAAACTTTGTACAAGAAACGACTATAGTTGAGAAAATGTGTCACTGTGACAAGGTCCAACCTATCATGTAGAGCCACGTGTACAAAAAGTTTATGGCATTGTCATCGTAGCAAGTGAAATGATTACCAACCCCCCTCATATTTTCCTTCAAACAATTTTGGAACATCTTAAATCTTTTATGGTCAATTACACTTTGCACCCTAAAAGTTCAGCATATATAATATTTGCTCCTTTAAATTATTTTTGTGTAATACTTGCATTTTTCAAATATCATTCGCAACACTTACTCCCTGTCTTGAGATTACGTAGTCTCTTCCACTTCTTCATTGTGAAAGAAATTAATTCAAATTTATTCAATAAAAAAAAGGCATGATTTTATTCGAAATAATAAAATAGTCTCTTAGATTGTGCACTAATCAAATTAATTGTACACGAAATATTACATATTTTACTCTACAAAGTTAATGTAGTGTCACTCTAAATTATGCAGCATAACAATTCATTAGAGGAATCAAATGTGTAAACTAATGAAATTTTAAAAACACAATTATAAATTTTTTTTTTGTTAAATTTATAAAGTTTAAATAAATTAGTAAAGAGAATACTAAATGATGATTGTGCTAATAAAGGTAATTATCATATATAATAAAAAAAGGGTAAATTATGCTCACACCCATGAGGTATGCTTAAATAACTTTAAGGTCCCTGTGGTATCGATAATTACACTCACCCCCTTGAAACGTAGTTATAAACTCTAATGGGATAATGCATCGGATACGTTATTACGATAGAGTTCTAACGCTCTATTGGTTTCAGGAAGTGGTGAAAATAACAAAGAGTTATGGGTGATTTAAGACATATTGGGGGAGCCATGTCACCACATAACTCCCCATAACTCTATGTTATCTCCACCACTAGCTAAGAGTAACAGTCCGTTAGAACCCTATCGGAATAATGTAGCCAATGCATTATCCCGTTAGAATTTCTAACTACGTTTCAGGGGGTTGAGTGTAATTATCAATACCATAGGGACCTTAAAATTATTTAAGCATACCTCAGGGGTGTGGGTGTAATTTACCCTAAAAAAAATAAAAAAAGGGAATATCCAGTGAATGTCCAATGTAGAAAGAAACTTTTAAAAAATATATAAATTAGTTATAAGTCAAACTTACCAACAAAAATAATATAAAAAAATTGTTAAAAAATTGTTAGATTGTTAAAAAAATATAAGAAAATAGTAACACTTTCGAAAATTCAACAAAATCAAGGTTTGGTATATTTATTTATTTATTTATTTATTTATTTATTTTTTGTGTGTGTATTTGTATTTTTAATACTTCTGGTATCACTATTATATAGTTTGTGGATTAAAAATTCATTTTTTTCCTATTAAATGAGGAGCAATTGGGAAAACTAAAATATTCTCTCAAATAATGGACATAAATATGGAAAATTGTTATAAATATACTAAAGAAAATTAAGTAAAACAAGAATATGAGAGATCAAATGTAAGGATAATAGAGACTTTTCTTCTTATTCTTTCTTTTATATTCAAGTGTGTTTTTGTGTCTTACAAACTAATCTATTTATAGTACAAAGAAGATTAATGTCCAAAGAGTTACAAGAGTGTACTTCAATTAAAGACCATTAATGGTTAGTAGCTCATTTGTTAGCCGCTAAGGTGGATTTATCTTGTACTGAAGATGAGAACCTTCCTTTTGAGTATAGCGAATGATGCCAAATAAAAATGATTTGTTTTCAAAAAAAAAAAAAAAAAAAAACTCTTTATTAATTGGAAATCCACTTAATGCATATTCAATGCATTTACAACACTCCCCCTTGGATGTCCATCATTATAGAGTAATATGCCTCGTTAAAAACTTTTTCGGTAAAAGCCAATGGAAAAACCTGGACAAAGGAAAAAGAGTACACATCCATGTGAAGCTTGCGATCGTGAGACACTGCCTCGTTAAAACCTTGCCAAGAAAAACCCAGTGGGATAAAAACTTGGACGAAGGAAAAATAGTACAGTGTGTTAGAGTTAATGATCATGCTCCCCTTGATGTCGGCAACAGGTCTTTGAGTCGACGCATTCCAATACTATGGACCATCTTCCTGAACGTTGTAGTTGGCAGTGCTTTAGTGAATAAATCTACCAAGTTGTTGCATGATTGTATCTGATGAACGTCAATATCACCATTCTTTTGTAGCTCGTGAGTGTAGAAAAACTTGGGTGATATATGTTTTGTTCTATCACCTTTAATGTAGCCGTTTCTGATTTGTGCAATACAAGTGGCATTATCCTCGTAAAGTATTGTGGGTGTATCTCGTATTGAAGTCAGCCCACAATTTTCTCGAATATGTTGAATCATTGATCTCAACCATATACACTCGCGACTGGTTTCATGCAATGCCAGAATTTCTGAGTGATTTGAAGAAGTAGCTGCCAATGTCTGTTTCACTGAACGCCATGAAATTGCAGCACCACCACAAATAAAAACGTAACCACTCTGAGATCTGCCTTTATGTGGATCAAAAAGGTAGCCGGCATCTGTAGCCCACTACTTGGGGTTCTGAAATGTTTGAGTAAAACAAACCCATATCAGTTGTTCCACAAACCCATTGCAATGTCTTTTAGTAGGCGCAGAGTTATATCTTGCTAATAAGTTGACCGAGAAAGCAATATCAGGTCTAGTGTTATTTGCAAGATACATTAGTGCTCCAATGGCACTAAGATAAGGTACTTCTGGACCAAGTAATTCTTCATTCTCTTCTCGAGGGCGGAATGGATCTTTCTTTATATCCAACGATCGAACAACCATTGGACTACTCAAATGATGAGATATATCCATGTAAAATCATTTTATAATCTTTTCTGTATATGTTGATTGATGGATGAAGATTCCATTGGACAAATGCTCGATCTGTAGGCCGAGACAAATTTTTGTCCTTCCGAGATTTTTCATCTCAAATTCTTTCATCAAATAGTTTGCGGTCTTTTCATCAAGATTTAGATCATCCACGTAAACCGCAATAATACCGAATCCACTATTAGATCTTTTGATGAAAACACAAGGACAAACTGGATTATTTATATACCCTTCTTTAACAAGGTATTCACTTAGACGGTTATACCACATTCTTCCAGATTGTTTTAAACCGTACAAGGATCGTTGCAACTTAATTGGGTATAACTCACGAGACCTTCGTTTAAATGCTTCAGGCATTTTAAATCCTTCAGGGATTTTCATATAAATATCACTATCTAATGATCTATAAAGATATGCAGTAACAACATCCATAAGGGGCATGTCAAGCCTCTCTGTGACTGCTAAACTGATCAAATATCTCAACGTGATTGCATCGATAACGGGGGAATATGTTTCATCATAATCAATCCCGGGCCTCTGTGAGAAACCTTGTGCAACTAGTCGTGCTTTATATCTCACGATTTCATTTTTCTCATTTCGTTTTCGTACGAATACCCATTTGTATCCGACGGGTTTTACACCATTTGGTGTTTGGACTGCTGGTCCAAATACTTTACGATTTTCAAGGGAATTTAATTCAGCTTGAATAGCATTTTCCCATTTTGGCCAATCATTTGTATGTCGACATTCTTCGACAGATTTTGGTTCGGGGTCCTCATTTCCAATATCAATTGCAACCCCATAGGCAAAAATATTATCAATAACAACTTTATTTCTACCCCAGTTTTTTCTGGTATTCAAATAGTTTTAAGATATCTCTTCGGATATAAGTTCTTTCTCATGATCCTCTCCAGGGGCATCATGTACTTTAGACTGATCAGTCACATTTTTCATAGCGCTTTCTTGTTCACAGATAATATTCTCTTTAGGAGAATTTACTTCTATTACCCTTTTCCTTCTAGGGTTCTTATCTTTTGCGTCAATA